GGTGGTTTTGGCCCCTAAAAAAAACCCCCCAAAAAAAAAAAAAAAAAAAACGAATGGCTTATTCAACAATGCTTATGTTGTTCCTCAGTGTCTGGTAGGTACATTTTAAAGCTTTACTGGATACGCCACAAAAGGAGCGAGAGTGACAGTGGCGGATTCTCAACGACAAACAAGTTTGAAGCCTCGGGTCCATTTGTGTGCCTACGTGTGTTGTGTTTGTGCAACTCTGTGGGCACGACTCGCTGAGCCGGCCACATGGCAGCTAAACTCGGTCCCCTCTGCAGCCTCGAAACCAAACTTCACAGTTCTGAACACTAGCTCTAAGAAAGGCCTGGCACCGCTCCCTTCATTCCACAACACGGAGTCATAACTCACAAAGCCGCACCCCACAGCGCGCGCACAGCTACACAACACACAGGCACAACTACACGCGATGAAGCCCAAAGCGGGAAAATAAACAATCCCTGTTGTGCATCAATGTTCATATCAGAGGACTTTTCAGGTTATTCTCAATCGTATCTGCCCTTTCATCTTTCTCCATGAGCTCATCACCCTCCCTCGTCCTCCCTCCTTCACCTTGCTAAGCTGCCGTTCCTCTTGGGAATCTGCAGCATTCGCTGGGCGTTTTCCAGCCGCATACTTTATTGGATATTTATCTACCACTCACAGGATAAAAGTAAGAATGTGCTTCCCCAACGACAGCGGTAAGATCATGGAAGCGAGCAAGGAAGGAAAAACCCGATGAGGTTGGGTATGAAAGAATCATAAATCCTGGCTTGATTTGTCAAGATCAGTTGCTCAATTGTTGTTGGCTCACGCGACGCAGTCGAGCGTGGTCACCCTCCCCCCGAGCCGCCACCCCCACCAACACTAATTTCAGCATTCTGAACAGTAGAACGGAGGGAATGTTTGTGTCCTTTGGTGTGAATCACACTGAAAGGAAACATTTCCAAATAAACTCCGGTTGTCAAAGCAGACATGTAGAATAAACATCACAACCCATTTGGATGCAACATGAGGAACGTTTTGGGCAAATTAACATTTAACTAACGCATCTTGCCAAAGTCACTGTGGGAAATGGTGGGAACGGGGGAGGGAATATGCCTTGAAATACCATGAAAGTTAAATGTAGATCTGGTCTCTCGGTTACCGGGTGATCCACACAAAAATATACGCACACAGCAACGCATGCTGAGCTTCAGTTGTTGGGTGTTGAGAAGTGTGTTATTTCCACGTGGCTGAGCTCAGCTTGACTGGCGCATGTAGAATTTGAGTAAGTCATCGTGAAAGGCCTTTAAAAAGACGATGCAGACATTTTTATGAGACAAAATGACCATGTCTGCCTCGCTGCACTGGTCCCCCGTGTTTCTGCGGCTCAGTCATTTACCTTTGACTAAGACCGCTCTATGTGTATTGGATCAAAAATCAGACGCTTCTCCTTGGAGACAGGGGCTGGTTCCATTGTTTACAGCCCAGGACCGGCTGTGAGCGCCACAAACTTCCCGATTATTTTCTCCTAAGAGGAACCAGAATAGTTCCTCTGTAGTAAGCTGTGGCAATAAGGACCACCCAGTGACTTACCCTGCTCTCAAGGAGTTGACTCACACAACTATTTCCACGGTTACACTTAAAAGCCTCCAAGTATTAGTCTCGCAAACACATTCAAAGAAGAATCACGCACTAAAAATAAAACTGTCAAACCCATGAAATGGATGAGAACCTTTTAGTGTACACCGAGTGGAGAGGTTTACGCAAGCAAGCCAGACAAAATGTTCAAAATCTTAACGGCGCAGTCTTCATTGTAGAGAGAATCATTCGCGAGCACCCCCTACAATCGCAACTCATCCGATTTTATCACGAAAATTCAGCCACAGTCCAAGATTATTCATGCACGTACATCACACAAGACTAACACAACCTGTGGTTTTTCGAGTCCTTGTGTGTTCCAACATGCTGTTTACATACCCTTCAAAATGGACGTTAGACTATCGCTCTGGATAGGAGACACCGTGAGCACCCTGAAACGATGCATTGGCACTATGCAGTACGGTAGATGTCTATCCAGTAGTCTATGCACCACTGGTCAAATATCATAATTTTGGGCTATAAAAAAATACACAATTAAATTAATGTGACCTATACAACTCAATTTAAAATTACTTTCAGTCTTGGTGAGGGGAGGTTAAAATCAATAACTGAGAAAATGTGGTTGCACAAGTGTGGATTTGTTCCAAATTAACCAATCCCATTTAAACTCAAAATAAACAGAGGCCGCACCTCTACCGTTTTTTATGTAGACTAAACATATACTTAACAATTGTACCTGGATCCAGATGATTGTATTTTGTACAAACACTTGACCAAAAAAAAAAAAAAAAAAAACTGAGTGAATCCAACACATTTATTTTTCAGTGTACTCGCGGTTCACAATACTGACATGTACTTTGAATGGTCAATGCAAACAGTGAAGTCTCTCAATACTCCAAACAGGGATCCTTGCATTAAGCATACACTGAGAACAATATTTTCAGCAAAAACTGAACAGAAGTTGCCAATAACAGTCGCAACGTAAAATGTCTGCCCTCTGGCTTCAGCCGCGAGGGCGCTGATAGTTAGTCCGTTATATGGTCCGTGTTAATTCGTGACACGCTTTCGTAGATGTCACCATGAAATGAAGAGATCAAAGAGCGATCATCTCATTTCTCTCAAACATTTCTGCTACTTCTTGCCACACTCCACTGTCATTCTGATTTGTGCCTTCGATGGAATTTCTGGTGGGAGGCGTGAGGAGCTAGCTGGAAAGCATGATGCGGACACCTTCATGCTTCACTATAAGTATCTCGTTCTTGAAGTCATGAGCAGTGTTTTGTTTGCTCCAAACATATGTCCAAAAAGTTTCCACACCCAAATTTCCCAATAAAACGTGTTATGGTCTGATGAAACCAAGTTTCATCAATTGAGTTAGACACGTTATAAATTACTCATATTGGTCACGGTTTTCTATCTGACCAAAACCTGGAATTGGAATGGAAGAATTGAATGAGAACTCATAATTGTTCACACACTATCTTGAAATAAACAGCAAAAGTGCTCATATTAGGAATTGGTAGGTGTTGACTGTCAAGAGTTTCCCATTCCAAAGCTTGAGGACGTGCATTCCAGTGCGAAGCTGTGTGTACTCTGGTTTTTTGAAACCAGGTGAGGAGAGTGAACGAAGCACCAAGCAATGGCAACTGCATGAAACTGTATCGAAGTACAATGGAACATGTTGGAGAGAATAAGACAAATCTGGAGGGACATATCACTAAATGGCATTTATGTCTTCATATGTTGAAGAAAAAGAGAAAGGGAGAGTCACTTTTTTGTATGAACAGCTTGTTATTCAAAATCCTAAAAAAAAAAAATAATAATAATTGAAAAGTGAGCTTTAAAATTATTCAAAATCCTTTAAAAAAGTGTGTGGTGAGAAGTGAGCTTCAAATTGCGCTTATGAATTTGTCAGCATTTTTTTCAGTGGGAATCAAGCCACAAGATGCTATAGCTTCAACTGTACTGAATTCGGTTGTTTTAATGTCTCTCGCTAAACACGCACGGAAACTAAGTAGCTTCAAACGGAACCTACAACCGATGTGATCCTGTTTAAGGATTTCAAAAGCATCTGAGCGGGCACTGACATCAAGGACATGGTCACCGAATGTGCATATTTTAAAGAACATATACGGTCCTATGCCTTTTGTTCACATATTATGTTTAAGATGACTGAAAACGGTCTTGTTAAGATACTGTGTTTTAAGTATTCCGTCTCATAGAGGGCCTGGTAACTTCTCTTCACCATTTGAGTCACAATGGCATCAATGAAATGATCCACCACCCTGAATCATTGTAGCACCATCTCTCTAAGAAACAATGACTCATCTAATTTTGTTTGGTTTTGTCTACAGTTTGTGTTTCTACTGTGTGAAAGTCCGCATACATTATTACATTATAGCATCACTAAAACAACAAACCTAAGACTTCTCCTCAGTACTGTAAATTTAACCGCTCAATATATTGACTTTATTATTATTATATTGTTGCTTTTTTACAGACTTTTCTTAGGACTGACACTGAGGATTATTTCAATAATCAATTATTAAATCAAATTTTATATATTAGTGAGAGCTTTTTTTTTTAAAATTCAACACAAAAGAT